CCAAGGCAAAATGAAATGCAAGTTTTAAAAAAATGCTAAGCAACCAGTAAGTGCCCAGGTTGGCTTCTAGCACCCAAGCACTAGGTGGGCGCTTAGGCGGGCACCCAGAACCTCAGGCGCTTTGAGGTGAAACATTGTATGTCTTGTTAATTTTGTAATTTTTTTACATTTATATGTATTCTAACTAACTTTTTGCATGCAAATATATAAGCATGAATATGGAAACACACTCAAAACTTCAAATCATTGAAAAAGTGAAAATTTTCAAAAACATAAACAAGTTCGTTGTGTACTATCCAATCCAACTGAGTATGGCATACTCCATACTGACACATGAACACAATCACAACTAGACAAGATGAACTACAAAAGAGAAGTATAAAGTCAATATCCCAAATGTCCAATTCAAGAGGACGGAATACTCAAGACAAGATGTATTCAAATACCTACACTAGCATTCCAAAAAAAAAAAAAAATCCAACAATAAAGAGTAAGCTTTTGGATGTTTCTTGAAATCTCTTTTTTTTTTTCCTTTTTTAATGATTCATAAAGATATCAAAATCAATAGATTTAGGGGCTTAGATTCCAATTTTTTTTCACTTTGGGGGTTTATAATATCCCGTATAGCCTTTTATGAAAACATTATGGGTCAAAAATAATCTAGGGGCACTTTGTTCTCAAACAAAGGGCCCAGCATCTGAGCGCGGGGCGCCTGTCTGGGCTGCCTGGGCGGGTGCCCAAGGAGGGCCGCCTAGCCCTAGGCGTATGCCCTGAGGTCCTCTGGGCACCTAGACACCGGCGGACCCTTTTTTAAACAATGATTAAATGCCAATAATATCTCATGCAGGTGGATTGCTGATTTAAGGAATTTTTTTCAGTTCTTATTTCGTTTCTCAGTTTTTTGTAATGTGTCAATCTGTATTTGTATGCACATGTGGTTTGTGAATAATTAAAAGATTCAATTTATGGACTGGATCAATGTTTTAAAATGCGGCCGCATCGCTGCATATGCGGCCGCATCAGGCCGCATCGCGCTGCATCTGTTTTTTGAGGAAAAAAATATCGATTTTGCCCCTCAGGGAGGGGCAAAATGGTCTTTTTGAACTTCCAAAGTATAGGGAAACTGTTTGGGGGATTATTATACCCCTTAAACGAAGATTTCCAGCCACTTTTGTGGCTTTTTTTGCATCAAATCGAGGGAGAAAAAATGTGGCAAATGTTTTTTTTTCATCCAAATCTTTGATTTGGCGGTTGTTTGATACTTGGATGTTCATTTGATGCCTTTGATTGTTGATTTGGGGATGTTACGGTGAATTTGTGATAAGAAATTGGGAATTTCAGAGGCCGTGAAGAAATCGAGCACTACTTCACAAAGTCGGTAACTTTTTATTCCTTCTTGTATAATAATACTGTTATACTTATTTTTGGGGCAATGTCTTCGTCCCAATCTTCTAGTAACAAGGACCCGGCTTAAAAATATGCTAAACTAAAAAATCCGAAAGATAGAAATTGTGTGATACGCTTGCTCTGTGGAAATACTTATATGGGTGGTATTTTTTGACAAAAAGAGCATTTAGCCAGAATTTCTGGGAATGTAAGAGCATGCCCACAAGCTACAGATGATATAAAAAAGAGGATTAAAGAATATTTGGATAGATTGAAAAAAGATAAAAAAAAAACAAAAAAAAAGAAAAGAATTACTTGATGATATGCAATTATTTGATGATGTTGATGATGATGATATGTCTGAAGTTGCTATGAAGCAAAGGGGTACTCTTACTCCAACCTCAAGAGAGAGTGTTATAAATATTGATGGTAGTGCTGAGAGAAGAACACCTCTCTCTAAAGGGCCAATGGATTCTTTTTTCACCCCTAGCCCCAAAATTGTGGTTCAGGAGCGAGAAAAAAACAAAACAAACCACAATTGAAAATAAATATAAGAAAGAACAAAGGAAGTCGGTATGTAAGTGGATTGCAAAGTGGATTTACTTGGCCGGCTTTCCGTTTAATACTATAACTCTTGATAGTTTTGCATGTATGGTCCAAGCAATTGGGCAATATGGCCGAGGACTTATTCCTTCTTCACTACATGAGGTTAGGGAGCCCTTGTTGAAGGATGTTGTATTTGATGTGAACAAAATTTTGATTTCGTAGAGAGAAGGGTGGGAGAAATATGGGGCCACTATTATGTGTGATGGTTGGTCCGATGGGAAATCATGGGCATTCATTAATTTTTTGGTTAACTGCCCAACAAGTACTTTTTTTGTTAAGTCTATTGATGCATCAGACAAGTCACATGAAGGTACATACTTATGTGGTTTGATGGATGAGATTGTCGATTTTGTTGGGAAGCAAAATGTGGTACAAATTATCACTGACAATGGTGCCAACTATGCTGCAGCTGGGCATTTCTTGACTTTGAAAAGGAAGCATATGTTTTGGACTCCTTGCGCAGCTCACTGTGTTAATCTTATGCTTAAAAAAATGGGTACAACATATTTATTTAGTGGGGTGATTTCAATAGCTATGTTTGTTGTTGGATTTATTTACAATCACACCATAGTCCTAAGCATGATGTGGTCTTTTATAAAGAAGAGAGACTTAGTGAGACCGGGTATTACTAGATTTGCTACGTCATTTCTCACTCTTCGAAGTCTAGCCAAGCAAAAAAGTGCCTTGAGGACCATGTTTGCTTCAGAGCAATGGAGTCAAAGCAAAAGGTCAAAGCATAAGGATGGGAGAAAGGCTGAAAAAATTATTCTGAATACATCTTTTTGGAGTCAAATAATTTTTGCATTTGAGGTGGTTCGCCCTTGAGTGAGAGTGCTTCGACTGGTTGATGGCGATGCGAAGACCGCCATGGGCTACATACATGAGGCAAAGATGTTTTAAAGGCTGATGAAAATATACGCAAGGCTATACTTGAAATTATTGATAGGAGATGGAATACCCAGCTTCATAAGCACCTCCATTCAGCCGGTTATTTTTTAAACCCATCTCTTCACTGCAAGCACCCATCCATTGAGTCAGATTGTGTAATAAATGGTGGGTTCTTAGATGTGCTGGAGAGGTTGGTGCCAGACAAATATATCTAGGTTGAGATCCAGAGCCATGAATTGATTAAGTTCAAGTTAGCCTTAGGAAACTTTGGGAGAGATATTGCCACTCGAAATAGAGACACTACAAATCCTGGTAAAGGCCAAAAGCCCAAAAATAATCTTACTTGTCTCTTACTTTATGTATAGTTCCATTGTTTATTTTATACCCTTAATTTTTAACTATATTCTATATTATAAAATATTATACAGCTGCATGGTGGGCATTATATGGAAGCGAGACACTAAATCTACAACATCTTGCTATTCCAGTGTTGAATCTCACATGTAGTTCATCTGGTTGTGAGCGCAATTGGATTGCATTTGAGCATGTAAGTCCTTTACTCCTTATTCATTAATCCTTATTTGTTGAATTTCAATTTTCTATTCTAAAATCTAATTTATCTAATTTCAAATTTCTACCACAGCTCCATACAAAAAAAATAAATAGGTTGGAGCAAAAAAAAGTTGAATGATTTGGTTTATGTGCGGTATAACGAGCGGCTTAGGGAGAGATATGAAAATCGCACGAAGCTCATCCCTATTCAAATACATGAAGCTGATGGTGATTCCATAAGTGAGTGGACCATGGATCCAAGACAAGAGCATGTGTTTGAGGGTGAGGATCTTACATGGCTTGATGTCAAGCTAGCAACAAGGGCTACTGAAGAAGATCGACCTAACACTAGAGCACAAAGGAGTAGAGGGGCTGCTGGGTCTAGTCGCACTCGCACATTAGCTTCAGATGTCGAGGAGGAAGCTGACTCAGAGGAGACCGATGAAAAAGAATATATGGAGGCCGTCGAGGATGATATTGATGATGCGCATGACTATTCTCAAG